TAATAAAATAAAATAAAATAATAAATAAATAAATAAATAAATAAATAAATAAATAAATAAATAAATAGATTTTTAGTTTCAGAGACTCTGACATAATTTAAGTTCAGTACCATCACCGTAAGGACTTGAGAATAATTGAAGCAAATTATATACATGGCAGCACATCAGAAGGCTACCTTGCAAAATAAAAGAAACCTGGGCAGTTATAATGCTCATACAATGATTTCTGTAATATTTAGTTTTTATGTCAAGGTACTAGAACATTTTTGCTCTATAAGAAATATCAAAAGCACAGTCTATAGAACTGATCCATGGTGGGGATTCTTAACTGCAGTGAAGGCTGCACACTGAAAATATGTAACTAAAATATATAACTGAAAATGCATCACAATAAAATATGGATATATGTTATAACTAACTTTAGAATGTAATGGATTGTGAATCTTAAGTTAACAACATTCACAGTTGAATTAACAACAGTTAACTCATAAGCTGCTTTGAAAGCCCTCTGGTCAGAATGCAAACACACTGAACCATGTTCCAACAGGGTTTTAGAATTTGAACCTCTTTTGTAGTTTACGGAATATCTTTGTTTTGAACCCAGATTTCTTGTAATTAACACCTTTTGCTGCTGTTAAAATACTTACCATGATCACAGTTCATTTTAATGTAAGAAATACCCAACCTTGTTTCAATGGCAGAAATTAAATTTCAGGTTTTGCATTCTACTGAACATATGTACATATGAGGCACACATGTGTGGGAAAGGAAGGCTGTACCTGGGATACTTCCTCAGCGGTAAAGTTGAAAGTTGGGGAATGAGGGCTGGGTCCCTGTAGCCCACGAGCCAGATTTTCATCATAGGCTGTTTTCTGGCGGAGGGAACGAGGAATGAGGAAAATTGCATGAGGAAAAAGTTATGATGACATTTATGGGCATTATTTTATTGAAAGAATGAAGAACAGAAGGTAGTTTCAGAGGTAAAAGCAAACTTAGGATTTAATTGCTACTAGATAGTATAATCTATTTAAATTAACTGAGGTAGCATAGAATATTTTACAGGTTGCGTATTATATATGTGCTTGCCATTTTCCCATTCTTGTATGCTCCCTCCTTCACAAATTGTCCTTCTCTTTTTGCCAAAAGTAAGACCCTCCACCATCATTGTTCCACCTTGCTTGAGATTTGTAATGTTTGGTTTTTCATATCCATTTCATATGTATTTCTCAGATAATACCCTGTTTTCCCCAAAATAAGACCCAACCAGAAAATAAGCCCTAGCATGATTTTTCAGGATGCTCGTAATATAACCCCTCCTCAAAAATAAGCCCCACTTAAGATCATCAGCCAGATAGACACAATTAGTACCGTATTTTCCCCAAAATAAGACCTAACCAGAAAATAAGACCTAATGCACCTTTTGTAGCAAAAAAATAATATAAGACTCGGTCTTATTGTCACGGAAACACGGTATCTCAGTTAGCGTCCGGATAGTAACCTTCTTTCCCACTAGTATTTTAAAAACAGCTCCCTTATATTAAGCACATTAAACCATTGCAAAATTTCATTATTGTCTATCTATTCCAAAGTTCAATAGACTAATGCTTCAGATAGGGACAAAAATATCATCACTCAATTTTCTTAACTGAACAATTTTGGACTAGCAAGGATTCCATATCCAGATGTGTCAGACCATTAATGTCTTCTGCTCATTTAATGTTTCTGTCAACAATTCTTATTACGATGTGCAGCATGCTGAGGCGTTCATCTTCCTCTTGGCATTTACTATTCTAAAGGAATCATTTTCCCTGACAGAATTGCATTTGCTTCAGTGGTCATTATCTTACTCAACAAAAAGCAAATAAAAAGTAAAACTAAGTTTCCCTCAAATCAGGTTCTGTCCTTATAATGACTTGGGAATATCCATGTAGTTTCCTTGGCAGCCATATGGAAGGACTGGATGTCTTTTCTGGGATTATTTCAAATTTCCCAGTCTTTCTTACAATCCTGGAATTTTCAAATGGTATCTCATTTCCCAGGTCTGAAACTGGTTAACTTTTTGATGCAAGCCTAAATGGGCTTCTTTTAATAAAAGAGGAAGTGAGAAGGATAACATAGACCATTTTCAAATTAGTGGTTTATGACATATTATAGCATCACTCAGTCACTGCTGAGAGGAATTGAAGATATATGTGGAACATCATCCTTGCAGAAATAATAAGGTTGCTGCCCACCCCCCACCACTGACATTCTTTCAAAAAGCATGAAGACATGGTTTTGCCAGCAGGCCAGAGACCCCAGGGCACTACGGAGCCTACCAAGTAGTCAGTCCAATTGTTGTTATCAGGGGTATCATTATGCTTTGTCAACCATGAAAGACAGGAAAGGGCTTTTGACTATACAGTTAGTCCTCACTTAGCAACTTCTTCTTCATCAACCATTCAAAGTTACAACCATACTCAACAAGAAGACTTATGGATTGTCCTTGAAGTTGTGGCTGTCACAGTGTCCCCATAGCCATAGGATCACTATTGGGGCACTCAGCAACCGCCACACAGTTACAATGATCACAGCTTCCCACAGTCACATCATCACCACTTGTGATCATCACTGCCAGCTTCCAATAAGTCAAAGTCAATGAGGAAACCAGCCATGACCTGCTGTTGTGCACATGATTCCATAACAACCACAACCTGAACTGTCATTGTACATCAAGGTCACATTGTACATCAAGGTCACATTTAGTTTCATTGTACAAAGTGGAGTGACAATAAAGTAAAGTAAAGTAAACTAAACTATGGAAATTAAAGAACAAACCAACCTGTTTTATTGTTGATATATTGCACAACAATGGCTGNTTCATTTTTCTGGGAGAGGGCTGGATGATAACTTCCCACAGTCTGACATTTGTTGTAAATCCACCAATCGCTTTCCTTAACTTGTCTCAAACAAAAGCTATCTGGTTGTGTTTGTGTTCTGAGAGAGTATGAGGAAATAGTAAATGCAAATAATAATGAACTATTACTAGTGCACCACCTGCACCCCTTCTGCTGGTGAATAAAGATACCCCCCAACCCCAATACCTTGCAATCAAGTCTGCAAAGCCGGCCTTCATGGGCTACCATGTCTCCAGGTGCCTGCAGGAAATATGGCCGGAAAAACCGTTCCTGCAGAGGTTCCCGATCTCTTTCTGATACACGGGACCTTCCCCTGCATTTCAAACACATCAGAATATTGGCTAAGTGTGCATAAAGAAGAGCTTTTAGATATAAGAAAACATGATCTCCTGAATTTCACTGCTTAGAAATTAAGGATTTCCAAACTCACAACTTGAATTTGCCAAGTAAAACTCATGCTAACCACATAGGCTATATTTTAGCATCAGACACTTTTTTAATTTTATTTTTTTTACCTGTGAGACTGGATAGTTGTTGATAATCTACCCCGCAGTGAAGGAGTCTGAACCATCAAACGACCAGAGCAGCTGATTCTTCCCTACCAGAACATGCAAGAGAGAAGAAATGTTATTTGTTTATTCATCATGTATTGGTCATTCTTCATTGCTATATCTCATTTGTGATATGTAAGGCTGATTTTTTTTATAGAAATAAGACAAAAATCTTATTATACTTCTACAACTATAAATCTTATACTGCAGTTATTGCCGTTGTTGTTAGATTCAAAATCAACTGATAGCAATTGATCAATCAATCATTAAAATGAACTTTCAAAATATCTGCGTCTGTCCTCATCCTCTTAAGTTTAAACAATGCATGTGTGAAAATAGGAACTTGTACCTGAGGATTTGCAGCCATGAATGTATAGTTTCCATCATCATCATTTGTAGTAGTTTCAATATGTAAAGAACAAGTTCCATCCCCCTCTCGAATCATTTTGAAATGTCCATTCTTCTTTGAAATCTGTTTGCCATCCTTAAACCAATATACCTGGGGGATTTTTAAAGAAACATCTATTGTAAGTAACCTTGTATTGATGACTATAATTCTATGTATATTGGCTTAAAAGAAAATCTCATTGAATTCATTGGGATTATTTATTTGAGAGTAAAAAGATTGCATGAAACAATGCGGCAAATAGATTTAAATTTTGGAATAAACTAGCTGCATGACAAACAGACACTGTACTGTACTGAGAATGATGGGTGGTTGCCGGAATAACTGAGGCGGAGACGGAATAAAGGCTAACAAGTTTATTCCTTATAACAGTAACAAGCTAACAGAGCAACTGGCTTGGAGACAGGCAACAGCTGAGGCTTCCATCTGACAGCTCTCCTTTATATTCCGAGCTGTCAGATGGCTAGCCAATCAGCTGTTGGCTTTCTCCCGCCAATACATGAATGTGGTGAGCATGCTCAGAACGTGACCTTCCTTCCCACCACGTTCACGCAGCCGTAGTGCTGTAAGTAGGCTGGGCGCCGCCTAGCCCAGCTTGAGTGACGCAGCTCAGGTTTGACTGCAGGAGTGGATGGACGACTCTCCGAGGACCCGGATTCGCAGGATGGTGGCGGTGGCGGTGGACCAAGAATCAACAGGGGTCGCCCCAGCTCCAACGGTAAGTCGGCGTCTAACATCTCCGGGTAGGCCGCAGGCTCATCTGGTGGTGCTGTGCTCGCACTCCCTGCCGCGACCCTGGGCTCTGGCTGGAACAGGTCAGGTTGATGCATCGGTTGGCCCCTTCTGGCCCACATCTGATCGCGATGGC